GGGGGGGGGGGTCGGGCGATCTGTCGTCGGGGTTTCACTACTTCAGATCCCGCACGATCTGAGACTCCTAGACTCCCCGGATGTGCCTTCCCCCGCCTCCGCACAACCCAAGACGACAAAAAAGCATGACCCCCATGCCCGAAGGCCATGCCATGACCATAACTTGTATCTACATCAGTCCATAATGCATGTAACGAATATTAATTGGCGGGGATCATGTCTCTGCTCCCTCACCCTGATTCTGGCAGCGTCACTGGGAGGCGAGGCCGCGCGCCTGGATCCGGGCTCCTTTCCACTCGACTGGCCCCCCCAGCCTGTCAAGATGGATGGTAATGTAGGGATCTGCCCGCTAGGATCCGTTCGACATGGGTTGCCGATCGATGAGTTGCCGGGGTTCCGAATCAATTCATCATGATCTCGGCCCTTACGCCCCGTCGCAGATCTCGTCGTTCCCAAGGGTTATCTGCTTGAGAAGCACTTCGCCACGACCTCCGACGGGTATATCCTGAGCCTTTATCGAATCCCCTTTGGTCGCGCCGGCCGCGGCGGGTGCGCGGTGGGGGATCAAGATGAACATTCACAGCAGCCGGCGGGCATCCCACGTGTTAGCCAGCCATCCCTTCCCCACCCCGTGTAGTCCACCACGCGCCCCGCTGATTCTGCAACATGGTATATTCGACACGAGTGCTACCTGGGTACTGAATGACCCCGATCAGAGCTTGGCGTTCCTGGCAGCGGAGGCCGGCTGGGACGTCTGGCTGCCCAACTCGCGGGGGAATGACTTCAGCCTCGAGCACACCACGCTGGACATCTCCCAGCGCGAGTACTGGAATTTCACCTTTGGCACCATGGCTGGTGAGGTCATATGGAGCGGGGGTGGTCAAGGGGATGAAGGCGTCAGCGTGGGGAGGGACTTGACGTGTAAGCGCTATCTTGCGGTTCTCTTTCAACGTGTATGTTATGCAGGGCCCCATTGTGCAATCCGATGCATCGCTTACCTGCCTAGCTTGGCACCAAGCTAACACAAAAATGTTCTGCACAGAGGAGGACTTGCCAGCAATTATGGAGTATGTCTTGGAGAAGACCAGGCACCCCAAGCTCGCATACGTCGGGCACTCCCAGGTGTGGAGATGGGGTAAAAGGGGAGCTCACCAGGTTGGCGGCGCCTCCTCAATGCTCAAGACAAGGCGCTCCACCTGACTATCCACTGGTAGGGGTATGCGCAGTGCACCTGCGCGGCAGCAGAGGGTCTCAGGAGAGACTTGAATCAGGCATGGCAGTGTGTGAGCTTGTTCTTCCCCTCCCCACTGTCAGGGGGCAACCCAGCTGGTAGCCGCCTCCAGTCGCCACCCCGAGCTGGCGGAGAAGGTCAGCCTGGCGGTGCTGCTGGCCCCTGTCCTGAGCATGCAGCGTGTTGACAGCCTGCTCTGGAACTTCCTGGCCAAGTTGAATGTGGACAGGCTTCTGGCGTTGTCCGGGCTGGCATTCCGCATTGGGCAGGTGAGTAATCTCTCTTCTTGATGCATTGGCTTCTCAAACGAGAAGCAGGCTCCTTCCAGCTCATGCCTGTCTCCTGAGCAGCTGCCAGGTGCATTGCGATGCTACAGAATGGCGCCTGTATCTGTCCTTTCATGCCCTTTCTGGTCTCCATATCCACTCTGCCTGACTGCAATCCCTGCCCCTCGTCCACAGTCCAACCTGCTGTCCAGGACCGTGATCCAGCTGGCCTGCCCCTCTGGCGGGGGCCTGGAGCCCATCCTCTGCTCCTCCATCCTCACGCTGGCCTGCGGCTTCAATGAAAACCAGCTGAACATGACGCGATTCAAGGATTACGTCAAGTACCTCCCTGGCGGCACCAGCATCTACAACGCCCAGCACTGGCTGCAGCTCCTGCGCGGAGCTCGCCGACTGGGCCGCCCGGTCTTCCAGTCGTACAGCTGGGGCGATGACTGCCCCCGGCGCCCACCCTTCTTCTGGTGGGAGCCGGGAACCTGCAACGCCTGGTGCGTGTCTGAGAGGGTGGCGGCTGGAATGTGGAGAAAGGAGGGGTTGGAGTGCGGGACCCTGATGGGGCTGATGGAAGACAGGGTTTTTAAGACACGGAGCCTGGAACTTCAGGTGCCTGAGGAATCGCATTGGTGTAATCAGAGGAGGAGTGCAGTAAGGCCGAGCGCAGTGCTGGCCCCTTCCTGGAGCATCACATCCATCTCTGCTGGCTGTCCGCAGGGCGTACAGAGACGGCGTCGTGCCGAGCTACGACCTCTCTAAAGTCAACATTCCCCTTGTGGTGTATGCCGGTGAGAGGGCTCTGTGGGCGGTCCTACGGTTCCTGTGCGGCAGGGGAAGAAGGGGTAGATAAGAACGCTCTCCACGGAACAATGGCTCTGCAGAGACCTGTTCAGGGGGGGTGCCTCCTCTTCTCATCAGTGCCATCCTCGGTACCAAGATGCAGTAGGGGCTGTATCCATTGGCACCAGCTGCCATTGATACAATCATGCCCCCTCCTCCGCAGGGGAAGGAGATAAGCTTGGAGTTGCTCAAGACACTGCAGATGCACTGGCGGCCATGCCATCCCAGACCGTCCTGAACTTCACCACCGTCCATGATTATGAGCACCTCGACTTTGTGAGCGAGCACAGTGGTGGGGGTGAAGCTGTCGGTATCTGCCGTTATTGCAGAGCTGCCGTGCCCGTGGAAATCATCCGGATTCAATGACTGCACAATCCCTCCACCTGACACGTGCCAGACATGGAGTGTCGTGGCAAAGTACGATCTCTACCCCGAGATACTGGAGTGGCTTAAGAAGGGCTCCTCCTCAGCTCCAAATGCCTTGATGCATGTTGTCGCAGCGGTGAGTGAGCTCTGGATGGGCAGAAGACTTGCTGCTGCGGTGGAGAAGGGTGGTGCAGCTGCTCACTTGGAATGCTTTGCAAGGACAGTGTATCGCAGGCCTCATGCTTACAGGCTCGCATGCCGTGAGGTCGCAAAGCTGGGCGTGTAACGTTGCTGTCAACTCATGGGCATCCTCTCTTGCTGTACAAATAGGATTGAGGGGAAAATATGTGCATCAATCCTTACACGATACACAGCCTTTGCTGTCCATGTCCCCATGTATCAAAACCTGCCATATCCTTTCCCTCTGATTACAACTCCGAAGCCATGGGGCGGGTTAACATACCGCCCTGTGCCCTGGCCTGCATACTTTGTAGCAAGTAGCCATACTATAGCTTGTTCATATTGGATGGATTCCATCACTATACTCTTGAGTATGCCTCTTGTAAGATACTGTGCACACAAGACATGTGCACTGGTGATGGTTCCCGGAAGTACCATAGATGTGGCAGAAATCTTCCAAGGTGTTTTGGCTTGCCAAGGACTATCGGGCACCTAATGCACCGTCAGCCAGGCTGCGGCGCCAAGACTGCCACGATGTAGGCCGACCATCCGCGCTGCAGCCGCTGCCGTGCCTCAGGGTCTAGATCCTCATGTGGCTGAAAGTCAGCCTCGCCCTCTGACTCCTCGGAGTCGCTGCCCGAGGCCTCCTGGCTGCCCGAGGTATCAGACGTGCGCCCACCGTCCCCGGCAGACGCATCCTGTGATGGCGGGGGATGAGGATGAGATTGTGGTGCCGGTGAGCGTCGGCGGCGCCCGGTACACTTTGCTGACCCGCCGCTCTCCTGCTCATCAAGTTCTGCTCTGCATCTTCCCCAAGGACTTTGCTAGAATTCAACACCTTAAGGGGCCCCCCCTCTCAACCCCGCCCCCCCAACATACACTCTCCACCTTGATGGGGCGTATCCAGACGTAGGTGGTGCTGAACCCCGCCTGGCGCAGGAGCTCGCGGACGTCCGGCACCGTCCACATGCGCCAGTCGTAGTGGAAGTTGTACCGCCGCGCCTCCCGCCCGTCCATCTCCCGCAGACGGATGGTGCCCGTCATGCGCCGAGTCACGGGATCAAACCCGCTCTGCACCCAGGTGTACCCCAGACCCGTGGTGGAGTTGTGTCGGGGCAGCGTCAGGTCGCGCTCCGCGGCCGGCCCTCCCAACAGGTCGGCCACGAAGATGCCGCCACGCGCCTGGTCCAGGGCCGCTGCCACGTGGCGCAGGTAGCGCAGGAGGTGGGTCCTTTGCGTATTTTTGGTGGGGCGGGGGAGAGTGTCCAGTGGTCTGTCGCATCCAGGCAGGCCTCTGGGAAGGCATGCGGTGTGGTACTGGCATGGGAGGCAATACCCCCCGACACCCACCACATGCTGTCATCCCACCCCCGCATACCTCGTATGCAGGAGGCAGACGCCAAAGTTGAGCGCGCAGACGATGTCGCACGGGCGGGAGCGCACGCTGCCGCGGCGCGCGGGCGCCCCTCCCTCCCCGTCCGACTCGTCAGAGGCGCTGCTCTGCGAGGCGCTGGCCTCCGGCCCGGCCTCGGGAAAGGGCACCAGGAGCGCCGAGTCTGCCGGGTCCAGCACCTGTGAGCGGGGACAACTTGTGCTGTGTTGGTGGGGCAGGACAGGCTGGTGTGCTCAAAGCATGCAAGCCTGGCGGGAAAGTAAGGCGCACCCATTGCTCACACCATGGATGCAGGCATCAAGAGCCATCCCAGAAATGCCCACAACAACACTCATGCTTCAGTGCAGCAATGGACCCCAAACTCCTTCCCTTGACATCCCCGATGGCCTCACATTGCCCTCCAGCAGTGCGAGCTGGTGCTGCGCAGACCCGCCCAGCATCTCGCCGTTGTGCCGAGCGCCCCAGTCCAGGGTGGGCCGGTCCAGGTCGAGGCCTACGGCTGAGCGAAAGACGCCGCCGCGGCACCAGGTGGCGGCCAGGAGGGCAGTGCCGCAGAAGTCCTCTCGCAGGTGCCGGGGCTCCTGTGGGTGGTTGGATAGAGGCCAAGGACATTGGTGCGGCGGCATGCACAAGGGAGGCGGCTCGAGCTTTCTGGTGGCATGGGTGGGCAGGACATCAATATCCTCATCCCAGGCTCACATGGGAGCCAATGTACGTCTGATGAAACCTCCGGCAGTACGACAGGTCGCCCCGGGGAGACTGCACAGCCTGGGATTGTGGTGGGAGAGATGCCAGGGTATCGGTTTAGCACTGGGGTTTGGTGATACCCAAATAGTACGACAAGTGCTGTGAAACCTTGTCATCTCATGCAGGTTTCCTACTTTGCCAGCAGCATTACAACTTGCTCTGTGGTGTCACCTGCTGATACAGCTCATGCCTTCTTCCTGAATCTGTAGAATGTTTTGTGGATATAAACCCGGGGGGGCACATTGGAATTGTCAGTATTGCAGGCGTGGGTTCCAGGTGCGCTCTCAAAGCGTGCACCCTCCCTCCCTGAAACACGCTGCATGGCCGAGGACTACTCCACCATTCCCATACGCACCATCTTCCACCAGATCATGATCTGAGCCTGGGTTTCTACCAATTGCATTCTTTTTCCCTCCCTTTTTACCCATTTGGATCGCTGACGAAACCTGGGCAGTCTAGGTGCACGAGGCGAGGTGTTGCGTGCCCAAGAGTCACATCTGCCGCCAATGCCGCCGGGAAGAAGAGATAACTCTTCTCGTGCAACGGAATCGACACCGGTGTAATGCAAGGGATTTGGATTCAGCCTTCGATGCGGTATTTGCCAGGAGCTAGGCGATGGCTCTTGGCCAGCGCGCGCGCGCACCTTGGGAGGGTTTCCCTAACGAACCCCCAAATCAAGAACCACTACGACGCAAGTCGCCGCGAGGCTTACACATGTGGCGGCGACCTCTAAGCTATAGTATCAAGTCTTCAAGCTTTGCATTGGTCAGTGGTGGTGGTGATGTACTCCATTCCGGAGCTCACATGGACCCCATCCTCAGTGCTCTGTGCGTGGCCACCGGCGATATGCTGCCCCCTCTCCGCCTGCCGGGCCTCGCTTGGCCGTCCACCACCTCCGACCTGTCGCCGTAGGGCGAGCCGAGGGCGGGGATGCCGCGGGCGCCGGTGGCAGGGCCGCCGCCCAGTGCTGCGCCCTTTGGCAGGGAGCCGATCTCCTCGTCCTCCGCCCCCACCACCAGGGCCAGCCCTTTTTGCCGCAGCTTCCTGTACTTTTGCCAGTTGAACAGCGCCTGCAACAATTAATCGAGAAGTGGGTGGGGAGTCAGGTCAGCTCCTTGGCATGCAGGGCTTGCCGCTTGGTCATGGCTACAGCCAACCGGCCGGCGTCACACCTGGGTGTGATGTGCCGCAGGCCCCTCTCTTGATGATCTGCCTCCCCTCCCTGGGCCCCAACACACACACAAACGAACAAGCACGCGCACCACGCCGATGATGAGAACCACGAGGCCGGCGGCGTTGACGGGGGTGAAGCGCTCGTCCAGGAAGAGCACCGCGGCGGCCACGGTGACCACCTCCTTGAAGGTCCCGGCCACCATGAAGGTGAGGGCGGAGGTGTGGCCGATGAGTGCAAACTCAGCCCAGACCATGAGGAAGGCAATGACGGCACCCGTGGCCACGATGCCGGCGGTGAGCAGGCAGTGGCCCCAGCCGGCAAAGTAGGGGCTGGAGGGCAACGTATTCCACAGCTGCTCGTGCGCCAGGCTGACGACGCCTAGGGTGGCGCTCATGACCGGGGTCAGGTGCAGGATGACCTCTACGGGGCCGCCCAGCGCCCCTGTGCGTGTTGAAGGGGGTGAGAGGATCGGTGACTTTGGTGATGCAGCGGCGGGTGGCGCCTTCCGAGACTGGGGCGCCATGTGACGTGGGATGTGGAACGGCAGGCCGCCATGTTCCGCGCATGCGGCGTTCCCATGGCGGCGCCCGTGAGAATGACGCAAATGGGCAGGGGAGGCCCCCTGTGTGCATGGATGAGGGGCCCCCTTCCTCAACCTCTTTCATTCCCCGCCCAGCTCACCATGCCCCGTGGCATTGCTGCCCTGCAGGAGGACCTGCGTGATGGTCCAGCGCAGACCGGCCAGAGCGGAGGCGGTCATGACCAGGAGGAAGCCCACGAGGTGGAAGTCCACCTCCCCCGCCACCAGCAGCATGAGCCCGATGGAGATGACGCACACCACGCCCGCCAGATCCCAGGAGGGCCTGTATAAGAGAGAGGGGAGAGGGACGGGTGTCGTTCCGGGGCGCTCCCTGTCCATGGGAAGGGTGATCAACAACATGACATAAACATAGGCCACGGGACTGGGGGGTTGCAGCACCCCCAGCCCTGCCTAGCCTTCACCCACCGTGCAAGCAGCTCGACCCAGAAACCCACTTTTCGATGCGCCACATGATGGCAAAGGCCAGGAGGAACAGGGGAACTGTGGACTTGCACATGACGTAGAATGACAAGCTGATGAACACCAACGAATAGTTGGACAGGCCGATGTCCAGCCCCGTCGCCACGCCGTTGGGGAACACTGCGAGCATTGAAGGGGGGGGAAAGGGAAGAGGCATGGGCGTGAGTGAACATCACAGAGCACGTCACAACACGGAGGCAGTTGTCCCGGCCCTGGCAATCAATCCTCGCCACCCCTTTTCTCGTACGGATTAGGGAGCGTCCCACCTGCTCGCCACCACCTGGGCCACGCCATCTTCTCATCCGAGCCGTGCCGCCTGATCAGGCCCGACCAGAGGCAAGCACGCGCCAGAAAATGCTGGAAGATGAACTGAACGCTGGACATCAGGATGGGGGCTGCGGGGAGGACGGAGACACGCGGGCAGTGGATTCCCTACCTGGCTGGAGGGCACGTGAGGAAGGCTTGCACCAGCCTCACAAAGGGCGGTGGCCCCTGCGTGAACTCCGCCCAGGCTTGCGCACCTGGGAAGGGCCCCTTGCCGAACAGTCCCCGGTCCTTGCCCACCAGCATCTTGTTCCAGAGGCTCAGGGAGGTGCTCAAAAAGTACCTGGACGAGTAGGGAATGGAGGTCTTTGCAGATCACGCCCCTCCTGGGAGAATCTGGGACTGACGCCCAACCAAAAGGATCCCCCACCAGATCTTCCCTAGCCCTCACCAGATGCAAATGAGCATCAGGTTGCGCGCAGCGCCGGCCAGCATGTCCTGCTGAGCCCATCCTCGCAGCGCCTCTCTCCACGTCTGGTCCCTTGCCTCCCCGGAGGTCTGGGGCTCGGCCATGATGGGCTGGAGCTCGACCTCGTCGAGGCCCTGCCCGGGGCCGGCCTTGCCATTCATGGTGCGGTGCAAGACCGTCTCAGCTCATGCCCCTCGGTCCCAGATACTCTCATGCGCGGTTTGTACTGGAGCGGGGCAGGGCAGCGTGCAGGGGTGGTGGGCAGGGACCTGCCCGGGGCTAGCAAGGCCCCCAACTGCTCGTTTAATAAAGACGTCGCAGAGGCCCGGCAGGCTGTGATCATTCCCTTGTTTCAAGCCTGGTGATCAATATTTGATGTTGACACCAGGAGCGCGGCCAGATGCCCAAGGAGTGCCGGGAAGATGGTCGCCCTTTCGCGCAGGCGTAGCGCGCTCGAAACTTGCCTCTGGTTCAACGTGCCACACCATTTCGGTACGCCGCCTCCTCCCTCCATCATCCACCCCTCCCTGATCCTGCATGTTTCCTTTTGTGCCTTTCAAGTGCAGCACATCCCACCCTCCGCTTGTCTCTGCCTTTGCACCCGTGGCAGTCTCACACACGTCTGCACCAGCAGCCTGGCACTCAGGCCTTGACACGGCCCAGGGACCGCGCCTTCTCCTCCGCAGTCTGGAAGCGGCCGTTCCCAAACTTGGAGGCGGTGTCGATGAACTTCAGCTTGATCTCCTCCAGCGCGGAGCGCTTGGTCTGCGCGAAGAGCGTCTTGCGCAGCGTGATCACACGCTTCTTGGTACCGGGCACCGCGCCCTTGATCATGACGTAGTCCTCGTTCACCACGCCGTAATGCGGGAAGCCGCCCAGGGGGGTGATGTCCTTCTCCGTCACGTCGTGCTCGGTGGTGGCCAGGTGGCTCGCCTCGCCCTTCACGCCGATGCGGTACACCTTCTTGTTCATCTCGGTGCGGTGGTTGAAGCCCAGGGCACCCGCGCGCGCCACGGTCCAGCCCACACGGGCCGGGTGCCAGGCGCCGATGCAGGCCACCTTGCGCAGACCGCGATGGGTCTTGCGCGGCAGGCGGGATACGCCCCAGCGCGTCACCACGCCCTCCGTGCCCTTGCCCTTGGTGATGGCGATGGTGTCGATCATCTCCGACTGGGAGAAAATGGAGGAGACGGGGACCTCGCGCTCGAACAGGCCCACCGCAAAGTCCACCTTGGCCGCCACGTCACCGCCGTTGACCTGGATCTCCATGACGTGGGCCTTCTTCTGGCCCACAGACACCTTGCGGATCTGGGTGTGGGCGATCACGCGAATGACAGAGGAGTGCTTCTTCAGCTGCAAGGTGTGTTGAGAAGGGGGGGGTTTGTGGAGGGGGGGTGAGATGGGAGGGTGAGAAGGAGGGGCCAGAATCCACACTTGCATGCCCATGTCCGGCAAGGCAGAGCCGAAGGCACAACCCCAGATTGCACTCCGCGCAAAGCCGGCAGTGAGAGAGGAAGGCCCAGCTTCCCATGACGATGCGCCATGCCACACCCTCACGTGATCCAGGAATGGGCCTGGGCGAGCCGACTGCCAGTCCGACGACCCATCAACCTCCATCCCCGTCCGCCAACCCATCAACCTCCATCCCCGTCCGCCAACCCGGCGCCCCCCCCGCCTCGTACCTGGGCCAGCTCAGCCTCGATCTCCTTCTTGCCGTCGGCGTACTTGCGCACGTACTTGGTGAACGCCTTCTTCTTGCTCTTGTAGAAGTTCTTGTAGAAGCGGCGGCGCACCTCCTCGGACAGGTGCTCGGCCCAGACGGCGCCCAGGGAGCGTAGGCCGGTGGGGGTCTTCACGTACCCGACCACGCCGACGACCACCATGGGGGGGGTCTCGATGATGGTCACGGCCTCGGCAGCCTCCTTCTTGTGCAGCTTGGAGCCGGGCTTCTCCACGTCACGGACGATGTGGGTCATGCCCGCCTTGTACCCCATGAAGGCGGTCAGGTGGGGCTTCTTGGTGGCGTCATCCCGGGGGAAGGCCTTCACCTTGCCCTTTCCGCGCTTGCAGCGCTTCTTGGGCAGGAAGCCCAAGTGGCCGTGGCGGGGAGCCTCGAACTGGGGAGGAGAGGGGGAACGAGTTCAGACAGCCTTGCCAATGGAAATGATTTGCCGCAATTACATCACCGGTTCGGCCCGCCACGGGACCCAGTCGCCCCCTCCCGCAGTGGCCCGAGGCCGCCCACCCAGGGGGCCCGCCCGGCCCGAGCCCCTTTGAGGCGGCACCCCGACAAGTCCATTGGAAGCTCACCTTCCTGTGCGACATGGTGCTCGTCCGGGTGAAAAGGACAGATGCCGGCACTCCTGCGCACCAAGTGCCGGGCGGCCGGCACGAGGTCGGTGGATTGTCGTGCTTTCGTCCCGGGCCCCTGGCTCTCCAACCCATCGCTTAGTCGCGCCCGGGCCCCTGCCAGGGATATCCTGCCCCTCCTTTAAAAAACCCTGAACCCAGACCCCATCAAGGCAGAAAACCATCGCCATTCTCCCGAGTCAAGAAGCCCTCGTGCTTGAACAAGACTCGCTTCGTCGCACTCTGGGAGACCCTTGTGGCCTAGGAATCTCTTTATCGTCCAGTCCAGGAACCCTTGCGCTTACTGGTTCCCTGAGTGAGGAACACGTACCTCCAGTACTCGACTGGGAGAGCTAGATGGAGGTCCCAGCAGGTCAAGACGGCATCCAGCGCCTGCTTGCTTCCGAGAAGGAGGCCCAAAGCGTGGTCGCGAAGGCCCGCAAAGGTACGGCCCGGGCTTGCGCTCTGTTCACAACCGGTTTCATATTCATGTTGGGTGCTCGCGCATGGACAGCCCTCGACGTGTCTCCGATCGCTCCACGCCCCTCGTAGCGCGCACCGATCGCCTGAAGCAGGCCAAGGACGAGGCTGACAGGGAGGTACAGGCATACAAGGCACAGCGTGAGGAAGACTTCAAGCGCCGGCAGACAGACGTGAGATGGTGTTGGGTGGCAGCAGCGCCACTGCAATCCTGCCAGGGGTCGGTCAATGAGTTGCTCTGGGTTGTCACAAATACCTCAACCAGCCTAAACCTCCCTCCACGCAGGACTCTTCAGCCTCCGAGGAGTCTGCGCGCAACCTCATCGAGGAGGCGGAGGCGACTGTCCGGTCCGTGCAGCAGTCTATTCAGGACAAGAAGGAGGATGTTCTGAAGCTGCTGCTCAAGCATGTGACCACAGTGTGAGTGTGGACATTCACAACACCCAAACCCTCAACAGCTTGATAAAGCCCTGTGATTGATCCAATAACAAGTAGGCAAGGGGGGGTGGGTGCAAGCGTCGCGAGCGCACGCGCACTGGCAGGGAAGGTGCTCCGGGCTGCTTTCCAGGCTGCCTCAGCATGCACAGCGGGGTGCCTATACGGGCACAGCGTCTGACGACTCCTTCTTGGGGGGCAGGCCCAGCAGCTGCGCCACCGAGATGTCGCGCTCCGCAGCCACCTGCCGCAGCGTGCGCATGGCACGCAGGCCCTCAATCGCGGCCTTGGCGTTGTTCAGGGGGTTGCTGCCGCCAACCTGCTTGCCAAAACCGTTCCTCACGCCCGCCAGCTCCAGGACCACCCTCACGGCTCCCCCCGCGATCACGCCGGTTCCCTCGGAGGCCGGTCGCAGGAGCACCTGCGTGGCGGACGAGCAGTTGCGATCGAGCAGTTCAAGGTTTTGGGTGTGCACTGGGCAGAAGTTGTGTTTCAGCATGCACGTGGAGTGCAGCTGAACGAGGTCAGACTGCTCGTCATTTCTGGCTCATGGATATATAGCAGGGAGCTCTCTCATGGTTGACCAGAATGTCTATCTCATGAACTGCTCCTCCTTGGGAAGTAGGCAGAGCACAGGCTGACAACTCCCCGAAAAGGCCTCGCACCTTGGCACCGCTGAAGTAGCTGTCAAATGCATGGGGCACGGAAAGGGCGTTCCGGGTGAGCGGCACGGTGATGAGACGCCGCTTGGCCTTCAGCACAGCCTTCTGCGCTGCCTGTGCCACCTCCTTGGCCGAGGCGGATGCCACGCCCACTGTGCCGTTGTTGTTGCCCACCACCACCTGAGGGAGCGAGGGTGATGGGTGGAGCCTCCGGCATGGACTCCGACAGAGCATGGCACACCAGCTCTCCCTCCCGCCCCACTCACCACAGCACGGAAGCTCAGCTGCTTGCCGCCCTTCACAACCTTGGTGACACGCCGGACTTGAATGACGCGCTCCTCGTACTCCGTGTCCCTCACGTAGGGTCCAGACTCTCCGTCGTCGTCGTTGTTGTCGTCCTGGCTCTGCGCGGGGCCCCGGCCCGCGCGCATGGTCACGATGGGTCTTTGAAACGCCACGGAGTAGTGCTGATCGTGAGTTCGCATCGGCGAGCACACCCCGCGATGGGTAGGGTGCCGGGGCAGCGCACTCTGGGGACGGAATGCATGGCCGGGAGCCAGTCCACACACCGACATCGTGGCTTGAAGAACGGGCGCCATGCTGTCAAAAGCTACAGGGATGGCGACAGACGGGGTGCTGGTGTGGGAACTGCCTATGCCTGGAAGGAGTGGTAGGTGTGCAGGGGATAACGTGCTCTGCCTGCTGTGCTGCGCAGAATCCGACCATCCCCAGACCATTTGAAGCCCGACTGAACACAATCTCGACGTGTTCCTCTGCTCCACTCTTGATCGACACAGAAACACTACTCTGTATGATCACCAGTAATTCTGAGTCCTGCATCCTCCAGAATGGGGCGGGGTGGGTCCTTCCTGCTGTCCCTCGTGTCGGTGGCTCTGCTCGGCGTCCAGGCCGCGGCACTGAAACAGGACTGCTACGGTGCAACGGTGCGTAATAACTCGTGGATTTCATGGTACCAAGGCTTGGTCGATGCAGAGGCCGGGAGCATGTCCCGGTCCGGCCCACGTCTCTCGTGCTACAACGCCTTCCGCCACCTTCCCCGGCCCCTTCCCTCCCTGGCCCACAGGTCAAGATTTCTGCCATCCACGCCCAGCACCCCGATGAACCCGTGCTGGAGGTGTACGGCTACCCCAGCGCCATCGGGCGGGCCATACCCGCCTCCCCCACCGGCTCCATGCACCTGGAGCTGGCAGCCCCACCCCACGCCTGCGCCGCCGTGTCCCCGCCCGCGCTCCCCCTCTCCGCCGCCCTGGTGTCCCGCGGCGAGTGCGACTTCGTCCAGAAGGCCCTGGCCCTGGCCGCCGCGGGGTACAGCGCCATGATCCTGGTGGACTCCGCCCCCGGCTGCGTGTTCATGTCGGCCAACGACACGGCCGCCGCCGGCGCGCTGGAGATCCAGGCCGCCACGATCACGGCCGTCGCCGGACGGCGAGTGAGGGACGCCCTCCGCGCTTCTCCCGCGGGCCTCGACGTCGGCCTCTGGGCGCCCGCCCCGCGCGGCCCCGACCTCGCCGGACCCCTCCTCTGGGCCCTGGCGGTGGGGTGTGTGGCGCTGGGCTCCGCGCTGGCCGCCGCCGCGCAGCGCCGCGCCCTGGACGCCCCGCCGCCCAAGGACAGCGACAGCGAGGCGGAGGGACCGCGGGCGCGGGCCGATCCCGGCTTCGTCGTCTCACGCGTCGGCGCCGGTGGCTTCGTGGTGGTCGCCTCCACTTTGCTCCTCCTCTTCTATTACCTGGACGATGACTGGCTGGCCAGCCTCCTGACGTTCGTGTTCATGGCGGCATGCTGGTCGCCGCTGGCAGAGGCCCTGGCGGCTGCGGTGGAGCTCGCGCTCTGGCGCGCGCCGCGCCTCCGCGCCTCGCTGAACGATCCGGCCTCGCTGCCCCTCCTCGGCCCCGTCGGGCTGCTGCAGGCGGTGAGTGTCGTGGCAACTGTGACCACGATCGAGGTCTGGCGGGAGCATCGTGACGCGGGCTGGGCCTGGGCGGTGCAGGACGCCATGGGCGCCGCGCTGCTGGTGTCCCTGCTGCGGACCGTCCGGCTGCCGGACCTGGCCACCGCCTGCATCCTGCTTCCCCTGGCCTTCCTGTACGACGTGTGGTGGGTCTTCCTCCAGCCCCTGGTCACCGGCGGCCCCTCGGTCATGGTGGAGGTGGCCGGGGGTGGCGCCGGCGGGCCCCGCTTCCCCATGGTGCTCCTGGCTCCGACCCCGGGACTGGGGGACAACCCCGCCATGGCCATCCTGGGCCTGGTGAGTTTCTTGTTGTTGTTTGTTTTTTGGGGGGGGTCCTTCTGGCATTCACATTTCAAGGGTGATATGACCGGCGTGCTGGGATGGATCAGTGCATCGTTGAAATCCCCCCCCCTCAATTGACGCCGCCACGCCCGCTCACCCTGCCGTGCCCCGCCGCACCCCTCACAACCAGGGCGACGTGGCGCTGCCGGGCCTCCTGGTCGTGCTGACGTGGCGCTGGGATGTGACGCAGCGCTTCCTGGGCGTCCGGCCCTCCCACTACGGCCCCTGCGCCCTGGCCGGGTACGCGGTGGGGCTGACCGCCACGTATGCCGCGCTGCGAGTCGGCCTATTTGGCGACGCGGGGCAGCCCGCGCTGCTGTACCTGGTGCCCAGCACGCTGGGCACGACGTGTGCGCTGGCGGCGGCGCGCAGCGAGCTGGGCCGGCTCTGGACCGCGGACGTCGACCCGGAGAGCCTCAGGAGCGGTGGGGGGCCGGCGGGGGAGGACGTGGAGCAGGGGCGGGAGGCCCTCCTCGCCACGTGACCCAAGCCCTTTCTCTGCACTCACATGCACCGGGCCATTGCCGTGCACCGCGTCTGCAGTATTTGTAGTAGTAGAAGCCCCTTCCCATACAGCAACTCTTTCAATCCCTACTTGCCCACACACTGAGTCCCTTCGTCCCCCATGCTCTGCTCCGTATCTTCTGCTCTCGTCCCCTGCCCTCGTTTCAGGTTGTACTTACTCTCTTGCCTGGCAGGTCAGGAGTCCAAGGGGTTGCTGAAGGGGGTGGATAGCTGGTCCAGCACTTACAGACTGCCTCCACCCCCCACCTCCCTCCCACTCACCAAGGCCTACTCCTCGGCCTCCACCAGCCAGGCAGCTGTCTCCGCCTGAATGCTGGACAGCAGCCCGTTCAGGCAGGAGTCAAGGGGCCGGCCGTCCACCAGCCAGGCCTCCCGCCACTTCTCCCAGCGCATGGCCAGCATACCCTGTACGGGTGGAGATGGGGTTCAACAACAAGCGGGGAGAGCACATTGGTTTCCATTTCTCTGGACATACTGACGATGCAGTCCTGGATCATAACAGATAACGAGCAGTTTGCTGTTAAATAGAACCCCTGCTCCCCCCCAAAAAACCATCGTCACCATGGCTTCCAGACGCTCCTCCATCAGCGCGATGGCCACGGCGGCGTCTGGCACCGGCAGGATCTCGGCACGATGGCACAGACGGGCACAGGCAGCCGCCACACGTGCCAGGCTCAGCAGCGCCGTCTGTGGGGATCGGCGTGCTGGGGTCGGGGGGTGGGGCATGCAGACACGCACCCAGATTCCAGCCACGTCTGTGCCATGGTCTTCCCACCTGGGGCGCCTGCTCCTCGCCGAGCCGCAGGCAGGTGAAGTATGCCGTCAGGGCCTCCAAGCCTTCGTGAGTCATGCGCGGCTGCCCCAGGCCCTGCGCAACCCTCATGTGTTGGGCAAGGTCGTCTGGTGTCATGGCGGCACGCTCCGACTCATCTGCAAGTGGCCATGTGGTCTGAGAGGCGTGGAAAGGCTGCGCGGTTGCCGAAGTCCTCGAATGAGACTTGTTGAGCACCCCCGTGGCGGTCGCCTGATGTGCCCCCGCAGCCCCAGATTGCCCACACCTCTCCCCCATGCCCCGCACCCGGGGCCTGGAGCAGGTCCTCCAGCCGCGCCGCCATGGCAGGCGCCTGGGGTCCGGGACAGGCCACCAGGACGTCGAAGACGAGGGGCGCGTCGCGCCCATACTTCCTGGCCAGCAGCTCCAGCGGGGAGGTGTGGTCGTAGCAGCTCCTCCCAAAGTCTTGAGGGGGGGGCAGAATCGAGTGCGCTGAGCCACCAGTGGCATTGGAGGAGGTCTCCAAGACAAAGGATGACCCACAGCATATCGACGCGTATGGCAGGCTGGTTGACGCCTGGATCGGGATCCCAGGGCAGTGAACCATCCATCCCAGGGCCCTCCCTCACCGGTCGCCGCGAGGTGGAGCCAGAGGGTGGCTGTGGCATGCAGGTCAAGGTCGGGTGCATCCGCCACGACACGCAGCCTGTCCCCTGCACCCAGGCAGGCCATCAGGCTCGTGCCAGCCCTCACCGAGCAGGCCCCCGCGTCCAGGAGCAGCACCCCGGGCCCCGCCGCAGCGAGGCTGCCGCCTTCAGCACCCTGCCGACCCAGCGCGAGGGGCAGGAGCTGGCGCGCGCTCGTCGACGCGTCGATGCCGACCGGGGTGAGGCGCCTGGCGAGCGTGCGCAGGGAGCCATGCACCCGCGGGTCCCAACCGGGAGTGGCCAGAGCGAGGTGGACCTGCTGGATGGGTTGGAGGGTAGGGAAGAAAGGACGTGCCGGGTGGGAAAGCAGTCTCCTCAGCGCTGCAGCCTCGGTGGGCGGGCCCCGCATGCTGGTGGTAGGTCAACCATCGCAGCCAGCGCCCTCGTGCTTGCTGTCGAATGGCGGTCTGGCAAGTGCCTGCACCAAAACTGCGGCACCCAGCAGGTGACCATGCGCCGCCCTGTCACCCACCTGGCGACGGGGCAGTGCCTGCCCGACCCCGCGATGCTCGGCCCCCGCTGCAGCCGCGCTGACGAGGATAGCCAGCAGGGCTGGGCGGTGGCATGCCCCCCGTCCCACCCACGCCTCTGTGCTCTCCAGCAGGGTGTCCAGGCCGACAAGCCCCTCGGGTGTCGGTGGGATGCAGGGTGGGGGGTGGGCGGGTGGCGCCCCAGGCTTCGTACGCTCCACACCGACGGCGCAGACGCTCAGCGCCCAGGAGGTCAGCCCCGGAGCGCCTTTCTGGCAGTCCAGGCTGGACAAGGCCCCTCGCTGCACCGGGCCAGCCACGCGCACGCTGTCACCCAGGCTCACGTCCCGTGTGAGGTCATCCAGGAGCACCACCCTGACGGGCGGCTGGGCCAAGGCGGCCTCGTCCCCGGGGGCAGGGTGGACCCAGGCGGTGCGCGCCTGGCATGTGTGAGGGGGAAACAGGGGTACGGGGAAGGGCGCCCCTCAAACACTCGTCAGGTGGATCGCACGTGCTCGATCCCATCTCCTGCCCTGCCCAGGTCCAGCGCACCGGGATCGTGACGCGCAGGCTGGCGTCCTCCAGCAGCAGGTGGCCCGGGCAGCACTCTGGAGCCTGCTCCTTGAAACCCAAAACCGTCTCCCGCTTGCAGCAGGGACACAGCATCGTTCGCGCATACCTGGCATGACGAGGTTGTGATCTGGGGTGACAAGTTTGAAAGAGGTTCACTAGCCGCATAAAATCATGAAGGGAGGGAACTGCAGAGGCTCAGCCATCCCTGCTATCACTCACGTCAGATCTGTCAAGGTCTGGAGGGCCATCACCGTGCCATCAAACACGACGAGGCTGCCTGGTCTGGACTTGAGCAGCTTGGTGTGGACAAGGTCGGGAGGAATGCTGGAGGGAGAACGGTCTCCCAACCCCAAGCGTAGCCAGACTGGGTGCGTGATTGGCACCTGCTTGTGACGTACATACCAGTCGACAGCCTCCTGCCGCACAGACTCTGAAGGAGAAGAATGGAGGGGACTTTGGCAGTGCACTGTTTTCACCTTGCCTGGCAAGCGGATGATTGCCGCCAGAGAGGTTGTGCCACATCGATTGCCTATCACCAAGCGACTACATTCATGACCCTCAGCATACCCCTATCTATCTCTCACCCATGTTGTTGAGCAGAGCAGCTGCCAAGGCACAGCCTTCCTTCTCCTTCAGATCGTCTATCTATGGCATGGAGTGAATGCGACACAGGAGTGACAAACCTGTCCCTGATTGGGGCATGGACCAACTTCATACCCACGACACAAGAGACTCTCCAGGCATATCGACAACCTGAACGACAATAGAGAGCGAGGGATCCGCTTGATACTCCTCGAATGCTCGCGTTAGGGCGGACTCCATGCCTCTGAGTCCTGACAGCATGGCCACACAAAGTCGTCAACAATCTACACGAGATCACATCCAGTCCAATCGTACTCGCTCATCTAATGGCTGAAGTGTATTCCCATGACCATTTCGCATGTATTTCACGTCGTCCTCGTACTTGTGTCGGTGCTGCAGGACGATGCCGGAGCTGGCCATGCCCGGGGACAAAGCTTGGGCGCACCAAAGTTAACAACGGCATGAGCAGCCCCATGTTGCATCCATCAGTGGCACTCTAGAAGCTGTGAGACCGGAGTCTTTTAATTCTACTCATTACATGGCGGTGTGCACACTCCAGCATGCCCAGGGTGTGATCGTAAGGTCAGTTTGTCTGTCTGGCTTGGAAAGTCATGCGCATTGTCTGGTGAGCCAAGGCAGTCTCCCTGACATCAAAACTCCATGTCCTCCACGGCAGGCACAGGCGTTACGCGCCAGGCATCGAAGAGCGTCTGCTGGCCGCCCGACTTGGAAGTCTGGTTCTGTGTGGGCGCGGTGTGAGGCGTCGCCGCCATTGGCGGCTTGTATGCCTTGGCACGGATGGCCGCCACTGCGGCTTTTCGGCGCGCGACGTGTGGTGCATCTACTCGCCCTGCAAACAGACGTTGACGCACAGGCTCTGGGGACGGGACCGAGCTGCCCTCTGTGGACTCTTGACTGAGCTGCAGCATCTCGCCATCAGTGGGGGAGTGGATGAGGGGCCGGGCGGCCGACCCTGCAAAGGGCTGGAGGGGGGTGGGCGGGGCCAGGGGCGGGCGTGCCATGCCCGCTGCGCTCCCAAACAGGCCGTAGCTGGGGCGGGATGGGGTGTAGGCCACTTGGTTGTATGCGTCGCTTGGCGA